CAATGCTAGATTATAGTCACCAGCCAGAATAACATCACCCTCAAATTCTCCGACCAGAGTGCTTAGCAGGGACTGGAAAAATTCCACCCGATTGGTATTTGGGGTGTAATAAATTAGAAAAGTGATAAGGTTTCCTCCCAAGTGGCCTTTCACCAGAAAATATCGCCCCTCCTTGTCCCAGATAATTTTAGGTTCGGTAAAGGACATTCGGCAAGAAAAGCAAAGGGCCACCCCCATTTTTTCTCTGTAGCGTTAGCAAAAAAGCAGAGAGGGTAATTTTTATGGATATAGCATGGAGAGAAGGAGGGGGGAAAATGTGTCTCCTGTAAGGCAACTATATCTGCCCCAAGGGAGTGGTATCAGCTAAAGGCCTGTATGCGTTTGAATGGGGAATTAAGCCCTTGGACATTGTGAGAAATTAGACGAATACCTCTTCTTGTTGACCGTAGGGAAGACATTATAAGTAATTAAGGAGCTAATCAGGATAGAGACCCCTCGTTCCCGAAAAGTGAAAAGGTCCTTAAGAGTCCTTAAATGTTGCCTGCTGACCCCAGAGAAGAACAAAGAAAGACAAAGAGAAAAATCGGAGAAAAAGGGAAGAGAAAGGAGAAGACATTCAGAACACAAAAGTCCGAATGTCAAGTAACTGCGGTACACGAAACAATACTATATAAATGAATCAAACAATGTACCAGAAAATACAGAGCAATAGCCCTGTGGTGGAATGGATCTGCCCAGAGAGACGATCTCGGGGAAGAGTCTTCCAGTCAGGGAGAGTGTAAAGACACTCTCCGGCACCGAAAGTAACAGTAACCTATCAGCAATAAATCAAAAGTATAGTGCATAAAAATATATAAGAACACAACAATGAAACCGTTTGAAATGGTATTCAAACAGATGCAATATAAACCCCAAGTCCTGCCCCCAACCCTCCCGCCAATCCCCCCACACCAACATAGCAGCAGCGGCCAACGCTCTTAGGAGCCACAGAGAGGCCACCACCAATCAACACATCACAGTGAAAAGTCCCCAAAAGGACACGGAAGTTCAAGAGATCTTCCCACGTGGGTTCCGGGACCCCCTTTTCTTAGATGATGGTGTAGTCCACAATGGCTGGAGCAGAGGAGGTCAAGGAGCCGATCCCATAGGGGAATGGGATGCCGGACTGCGAGAGATAATACCCAGCTGAAATAGCAACTCCTTGCCATCCTGGAATGTAGCAAACTCAAAGGACATTCCATTAAGAGTGAACTGCAGACGAAAAGGGTAGGCCCAACGATATCTAATGCCCTTTTGAACCAAGTGAGAGAGTAGTGGCTTGAGGGATCGCCGCTTCTGGATAGTGGCCGGAGAGACATCAGCAAATATTTGTATCTTGTGCCCCGTAAGCTCTAGGTCCAGATTCTCCCTGCCATACCGCATAACTGCTTCCTTGACCTGGAAAAAAATGAGGCTTGACGATGATATCTCTAGGAGGCCCCCCTTGCCGGGGGGGGGGGGGGATCAATGCCCTGTGAATGCGATCTATCTCAAGATGAAGGTCATCAATGTCGGGCGTCAATGAGGGTGTGTGTGCAGCTAGTGAGCTCCTTAACAGACTCAGGGAGTCCTCGAATGTGAAAATTGTATCGCCTGGCCCGATTCTCCAAATCATCAATTTTAGAGTATGCTTCCTCCAGGCGATCTTGCAAGTCGGTGATCATGTTAGAATTTTGGGAGACACTATGGGCTGTCAAATCAACTTTAGCCTCGATACTGTCTAGACGGTGGCCCAAGACCTGAAAATCCTGCTTAAGGTCAGCCACCAATTTTGAGGTAGCTCTGTCCAGTACACGTTGCAGCAAATCTGCGAACTGAGCTATCAAAGTCGCGGCACCCGAATAGAGGCGGGTCAGGAGGAATTGTTGGCGAGGAAGCCAGGCTGTCATATGCAGGCTCTGGACCGCTATGCTGGCTGTAAAAAATGGCAGCAATCTTGCTGCTCAATGGCGAGGAGGCAGGGGAGTCATGGCCCAAGGAACAGGCTGAAGCCTGGGACTCTGGTGGTACAGGACTGGAAGGTGACTGGGGGGGCTGCAGGGAGTCACTCACCCCAGCTGGTGATGCTGCTGCAATCCTCCTTGGTCCAGTGTGGGAAGAAGTGCCCGTTTTCTCCCTCTGGGGGAGAGGTGCTGCCGTGAGAGAGACAGAGGAGGCACCAGGAGCCGCGGGCACCGATACGGCCGCCATCTTGGATCTCCCAGTCCCCGCAGGGAGCTGCATCTGGGAGCCTCCACGGCTCTTCACCACCGTTTTCTGGGCATTATTGTGAGTGCCCGAGGTCCAGTTCAGGGGGCCCCGGGAGTGAGTCAGCATTATGCCCTTATATGGGCTGCTATCAGTGCTGGAGATGTGCGGAGCTAATGCCGGGACATCCGATCCCGGCAGCCGCACATGCGCACCCTGCAGTTTGTTTTAATTAGTGAATGGCAAGGCTTAATTTAAGTAAAGCTGGTGGTAAACGGAGCAAATTTCTTTCCTGCAACCAGCTGTCTCCCAGGAGAACTCAGTGATTATTACTAGTGGCTATAACAGCTGGTAGCAGTAATCGAATGTAAAATCCAATAGGCTTGTTGTACCTAAGTTGGTTGATCGATACATGGTTCGAATTAGTCTATGGCCATCTTAACATTATTCCACTAAAGACATTAAATTACTTAAGAATATTGTTATAAAATGAGGATCTGCTATCATCTTTAAACATAAACCAATTAACTTCCCCCAACCCCTTCCTTTCAGTGTTGGAGAAGCTGTTATCCAATGTCTATGTCCATCCTAAAAAGATGGCCATATATACATTTTCCTATTCAATTTCTTTAAGATTTACTTTCACCTATGTGGTACAAGGGCCTGCTTTATTGCATACAAATTGAAAGTGTTTAGATTTACCAAAACCATATACTATGAGGTCAAATCTAAAGGAAAATTGTATAAGACAATTGTATAATGTATGGCCAGCCTTACAATGAAGGAACCCTTGAAATAACTGTGGTCTCAGGGACCCCCTGCTAATAATTACTATATCTACAGCTCACTGTACATTAGTGTGACTATCAATGGGAAGAATGCAGCTTACACTTCTAGTCATTGGGAAGAATCTCCGAGCTTAAAAGATCATTGCTGTCAGTGGTTTCTTATCTGAGGAGGCAGAAATTGCTCATTGCACAAGGAACTCCTAGCAACCTCTGGAGGACCCTAGCTGAGGAAGGCTGTGCTAAATCTTTGCAGATTACATGGAGAGAGGGTGCAGAACAGAGAAATATCCAACTGCATGTAGGAGTCGATTATTTTTTTTATGATAGGCAAGAGATGCCCATATACAGCAATGCAACTCCTAAAATTCCCTCTGAGGCCTAACTTGTACAGAGAGTATATTGTAAAAAGTATTTTCAAAAAATATGTGTTAAGCATTTTGGGAACAAGTTATACTATACTCTTAATGCTCCAACTTGCTGTAGAAAAATCATCTTTGGTTGTTGATGATTGCTACGTGTACAGTGGAATCTGATGTTGCAGAAAGAGTTCAAAGCCAATTTCAACAAACATTAGGAGGAGCTAACAAAAAAGATTAATTTTTATTCAGCAGAGTAGGCAAAGGTTAGAAGCTTTGTTTTATTTATTGACAAGCTATATAGTGAGCGCTCAGAATGTGTAGCAGCTATTGCACTAAAGGTGACCACAGTACCTTCACAACATCAGCCCAGCCTCCCCTCTGATGATGTGCTTTTAGCACGAAAGGTCTTAGGAAGGAGGAGCTGTACAGAGCGTGACGTTTTCATGCCGCTGGAGCCATGAGGAGGCTTGGCGGCCATCTTTAAAGGGGTCAGTATTGCACTATTATTTGTAATAATATATGATGCATACTGCCCTATGTTGTTTTATGCTTCAATAAATTTTCCTGAAATACTACACTATTTGGCACCTGTTTTTTTGAGCTCCTATGTGAGCTATTGCATCTGCAGAAAATACCTGTGATATCCAGTATCCAGAGGAGTATCCCATCCTAAGGGGGACCTCTGGACCAGGCAGAATCTCACTATTCACCATGGCTTGATGATCTGGGAGGCAGCCCACCACCTATCATATATTACTACATGCGCTGTTAATATGTGCTTCCGGTGAGTGCGCACTTCTGCTAATTTTGGTTGGCTGTTTATACCAGCATTAGAAGTACTGAGATACCTGCCTCATAAGAAATTATTTTATTGCTACTCATTGAACTTTTATATATTTATCGATGGAACTTATTTTTAAGCGCTGCACTTCTTTGAATTTTGTTTTATTTATTGCTGGCTGGATACCCACTGGGGATGTATCTCTTCATTTCCTGTCCCAAAGACACACCTGACACCTTTACTCAATGCTAAAAAAAAGGTTTTGGCTGGTGTAGGACTTTGATATAACATTTTCAGCATCAAATTATACAATGTAGTAGTATATAAACATGTAAAGAATGTTTATCATGCTTCAGCATTTTTTTTATCTCTATACAGCATTGCATCATGCAGCAAACATACAACCACATGTATCATACATTGCAATCAAAAACAGATTTTATATTTTTTTTTTTGTAGTTTTCTTCCTTGCTGACATCTCTCAAGAGTTACATCTTCAGTGCAGCCTGCAGAGTAGTCTCACTAGAAGCATAATTACTGAAATTATTTTCAAAGTGTCTGCAGCTTGAAAAAGATAGCAAAACCTTTATTTGCTTGAAAAAGATAGCAAAACCTTTATTTGCTTGTTACTTATTTCCCATATCTATATGGAACAATAATCCTTTAGATTTAGACTTTAAATCCACATAGCATCATTCATAATATCGGTTGTATTGCCTTGAGCAAACTCTGTTTATTTTCTTAGTGATACAGGAAATGGATTGTAATGTTGCTTGATCAAAGCTAACAGGAAAAACAGCAGGATACATACAGTAAAGGCTTTATGCATCTCTGTTACACACATACCTTCAAAATCTGTCCTCTGCCTGGTTTTAAATCTGGATCAGGCTGCAGCTGCCCTGAACGAATTCCTGTGCAGTTAATGATGACATCTGCTCCTTGAGCAGCAAGCTATAGGTTCATAAAAAAGTTATGAGATAAAACAATCTGCAGATAAATTGTATTTCTCTTTGATCCATATAGATGAAGGGGAAGAAATTTACAATGGGATTCACTCAAAAAATTGTATCTTTTCTAAGATACAGTGCCTTGATAAAGTCCATCCATACACTTTACACACAGGCATCTGATGTTGTATAATTTAATGTCACCACTCAAATGCTTATGGAGTACATCTCATGTTAAATCATTTTTTCGTACAATATTAGCAGGTTTATGTCTGTACTACTCATACTCTCAAACACAGAGGGGATTTTTTTTGTAAGTTGTTTAACCCCAGAAACCACTAAACAGCTCATCCACTCCCTCATCATATCACGACTCGATTACTGCAACTCCCTCCTCACTGGCCTGCCTCGCCACAGGCTATCCCCGCTTCAGTCGATCTTGAATACGGCAGCCAGACTCATTCACCTTACCAACCGCTCCGTTTCTGCCACCCCCCTCTGCCAATCCCTCCACTGGCTTCTGATTGCGCAACGGATCAAATTCAAAATCCTAACACTGACGTACAAACCTGCTACTATTGTACAAAAAAAGATTTAACATCAGATGTACTACAGAAGCACTTGAGTGGTGCAATTGGATTATTCATCAGATGCCTGTGTGTAAAGCGTATGGATGGAGTTAAAGCTGATCTCTGGGATACAGATAGAATCTACCAGTGTGGGGGACCCACTGCAAGGGTAGATTTTCTCTATTTCAGCTTTAACTCAAACCTTTCTCAAATGAAGATGGCGTATGATGCTGTACTGGTTATACATGTGTCCATTACTGTGAGAAAAATCTTTCCATGTCTTCTTGCCCTACCATGACAGCCAGGGCAATGCTATGAGCTAAATTTCCTTGCTCCCTTATCTGGAGTGCATTTTCTATATATTCCACTAAACCTCTATGAGACTGGTGGCATAATACCAAGACATCACTAAGCTCATTCTGCCAAGTCCAATTTCATTTAAACAAAACTTCCCCCCAGCAGGTTTTAAAATAAAGCATCTACGGAAGGCATACTCACCTCTTCTCTGATGCTGTCATCTGTAGCTTTAGATGCAATGCAATCCAGCATCAGTTCTTTTCTGAGATGAATAGCACTAAGCATCCTTCAACCCATTCCCTGTGAGTTTTGAAGCATCATGGCCTACCCCCTTGGAAGAAGATATTAAACCCTTGTCTTTTATATGGCACTTTCAGCAGGTGATTTAACCACACACTGATGCAGCTTCTTTATTTAACTATTTGTCATGTTCTAGTTTAAGCTGGTGTCATTACTGCTGCCCCAGGATTCTTTTTTCATGGTGGCTCCTTTCCCTTTCAGGCTCCTATGGAGCCACCCTTAAATGCAGGGACTAGCTGTGTCTCCCTACACTGTGTGCACCAAAAGAAACACAGCCCCATACTCTAGGATGGCAGGACACTCCTCTGCTCCTCCCTTCTCCTCCAGCTTTTCTTCTGCAAGCTAAGACTGACTATAGACTGCACTGTACAACTCCTTCCTGTGAAAAGCAGAAGTTCATGAAGCAGCACTGACACAACAGGAGCCAGAAGCACTGAAAGTTGTAAGGGCTTTGGTAAGAATTTTAACAATATACCAGAAGCACTGAAGTTGTAAGGGCTTGGGTAAAAATTTTAATATACTGGGGAATCTATTTTATTGTGCTCAATGTGTTTAGCTAAAAAAAAAAACCCTGAAATTTAATATTAATTTAACCTCTTGACGCCGGCGCCTCCCGGCCCCTTAAGAGTTTCAGAAGCCGGGAGGCATGGCGGGGTTTTAGGGTCATGTATCCGCCGTGATTCGTGGTCACATGATCAGAAAAGGTCCCGATCGAAAGAGGAGATCGGGACCTTTCTAGGAGTAGCGAACATATGTGCTGGGAGCATGCAGGGCGCGCGCTCTCAGCACATATGTATTTTTTAATTGCACGCAAATATGTGGCTGCTCGGCGTCAGACACCGAGAGACCTGGAATTCAATGAAGGTGGAAAGTTTTGCATCTACTCCACTTTGAAGCACATATGACAACCTATGTACACACATCCTGATCGATATATGGAGGCTTCTATTTCTGGCCTCCTCAAAAATAACTATTTCAGGGGCTGTATTTGGCTTCACAAAATCACATGGCTGGAACAAGCATGCAGCCATTGAAAAGCAATATAAAGGCAGAATTCCTTATATTCATACTTGTTCTGGATCAATGGCTCAGATAATGAGCCAAATCATCACCAGATAGCCAGACAACATTTCAAAAGAGGACAGCAATGGCAGCCTACACATTTTTCCTATACAAGGCTTTTTATTAAGTCTTACCTCTGCAAAACTTTCAATCTTCTTGTGAATAAACTTGACTCCTCTTTCCTGTAGTCTGCAAACAAGAAATCAGAATAAAATTATTTAGCGCAAATTCACACTGTTCACCCTGCTAAATCGCAAAGCAGCTGGAGTAATTCAGGGCTCCAGCCGCACTGTGTGGCCGGCTGCTAGTGGGCAGTGTGGTTTGTGATTCAGTGCATCGTACTGTTTTTTCTTTTTTTTTTAGTCTTGTCAGAATTTATTTGAAGTTTACAAAATGCAAACTTCATCCACTGCAATGTTGGGCAAAGTGGTGCGCTGCGCTGGACAATATTGCAGTGCAATTTGGGCCAGTGTGCGCAACGCAGTGCTAGAGTTGCAGTGTGAATGGGACACACGGAAACAAATTATAACACTAATAACTAAAGTTTTTTTGTTATTCTCCTTCATATTAATTGGGGCTCATGTCATCCCCCTTCAGTCCTCTATCACCCTTTGTGTACCCCCAAAACAAATATATACATATATTTTCCCCCAGTTGTCTCTGCCTGATGATGTAACAGGTCCTTCTTACCCTTTTCTTTATATGACAGGGTAAATGTTGCAGTAAGCATGACTTTGTGCACTTCTCTGCAGCATCCTCCTGTGAACCCAGGGTGGGTAAACCTTAATGCCCTGGGCTCACAGCAAGGAGGTTAAATAATGCTGGTCTGCAGGTGACAGCACCAGGAAAAGGAAAAATATAGCAGGCAGAGCTGCCTTTATTTTTGAAAAGGAAGGGAATTACATTTTTTTCCAAGCTGGATTTGGGCCTCAACGTGCCTACACACAATCACAGCTCCAGAGAGCGAGATGTTATTTTACCCCTGTACAAATCATTAGTAAGACCTCATCTGGAAATTTATATATCTCCAATATGCTACTCTTAACATAAGATTCCCAAATGTAAAAAATAATCATAAATATAATATCACAAAATTGTCCAAAATATAGTAAATAGTGTCAATTCTGATCATGAACAAAAAAATTACGCACTCGTGTCCCCAAAAATTAAAGTCATAAATGGTGATTTCAAAATAAATCCTGGTGCATGAGCCATCCAACTGGCTCCCACAAACAATGTGAACCTCAAAAAAAGAAAAATTTACATAGTGCATTATCCTTAAACAAACCAGCAAATATAAATAATACACTGTGTAAAATTTATAATACACTGTGTAAAAAAAAAAAAAAAAAAAATCACACGTGACCACTTAAGTGAAAAGTGAACTTGTGTATCAACCGTGATAGTGAATTTTTTTTGAGGTTCACATTGTTCGTGGGAGCCAGTTGGAAGACTCATGCACCAGGATTTATTTTGGAATCCCCATTTATATGGCTTTAATTTTTGGGGACACGAGTGCGTAATTTTTTTGTTCATTATCAGAATTGACTTTATTTTGGACACTATTTGCTATATATTGGACAATTTTGTGATATTATATTTATGATCATTTTTTACATTTGGGAATTTTATGTTAAGGGTAGCATATTGGAGAGATATATATATATAGATACACTTTCAAGGGTAAAGGGGAGACTTTATGCTATAGGGTGAGAGTTTTTTATTTTAGGTAGATACCGTAATTATATAGAAACTCATCTGGAATATGCAGTTCAGTTTTGAGCACCAATTCACAAAAAGAACATTGGGGAACTGGAGAAAGTACAGAGAAGGATAACCAAACTGATAAGAGGCTCAGCTATGAGTAAAGATTAGAGAAACTGAATTTATTCTCTTGAGAACAGGAGATTAAGGGGGGATATGATCAACATGTATAAATACATCAGTGGTTCATATAGTGAACTCGGTGTAGAGCTATTCACCCTGAGGTCATCACAGGTGACAAGCGGGCACTCTTTACGTCTGGAGGAAAAGAAATGTAATCTCCAAACACGGAAAGGTATCTTCACAGTAAGAGCTGTGAAAATGTGGAAAAGACTCCCTCAAGAGTTGGTTCTGGCCAGCTCAGTGGATTGCTTTAAAAAAGGCCTGGATTCTATCTTAGATACACAGAATATAACTGGATACTAACATTTATAGGTAAGGTGGATCCAGGGAATATCAGATTGCCTCTTGGGGGATCAGGAAGGAATTTTTTTCCCTGCAGGAGCAAATTGGATAATGCGTTGCTGGGTTTGTTTTTGCCTTCCTCTGGATCAACTGTGGGTATAGGAATATAACTTTTTCTTTAATGGTTGAACTGGATGGACTTTTGTCTTTTTTCACCCAGACTATGTAACAGCTGAATGTTATGTTCCATGTGGACTCTTTTCAGACAAAATATATATTTTAATATAGAACATACTTTTTTGTAAGCCAAGGTAAGTAGCTTTTCCCCTCGATCATCATTGCTGTATTAAACCAGCCATAACTACAATATAACAAAAAAGAAAGTAGTTACAATATGTAACATCATTAGAACAGACAGTTTGTCATTTCATTTTTTTTGTAAACTATATAGATTACCAACATAATATCCAAATAATTTCCCAAATTTTCCTCCCTACTATCCAAACAAATCTAGGTTAAATAAATCATCTGTTTTTCTTTTACTTTTTTGTTTTGCCTTAGTTATTGCCACAAAACAAAATAACTGAGAAAAATACATAAATTTTAAACGTAATTTGAAAAAAGACCAAATGATCCCATGTCAATATGCAGCCAAATTAGCTATATTTCCAAAGGATGCCTAGAATGTTGCATTGCACAGATTTTTTAACCCATCCACTAAAAACTATACTATTCACAATTATAACAATTTCTAGACAGTTCTGACTGCCCATGAGTTTCTGCAAACGAATTATTATTCATACACTATTTTCCATGTCCCAATGTGCATCAATCAACAGCACATTTGCCAATTTAATTATTTAACAAAAAGTACAAAGACTGTTTGCAGTTGATTGTGATTGACTTAAAGCTCAAGCGCTGCCAAAATAAAAAAGAAAGAAAAATCAGCACAATTTACAGTAAATAGAATGTGTTCCTTGTGCTGATGCCTCTTAGTTGAATCCCTCTTCTGTCCCTGCGTCCCCTGCCGCTGTAATCTTCCAGTGCAGTGAGGATTACTACTACAAAGGGGCTGTCACAGGCTCTCAAGAAAGCCTAAACTATGCCTTCCCTTTCTGCTCAGCTACTACATTGATAGAAGCCATACAACAGCTTCTATGAATGAAACTTGATCTATGAATGGAGGGGGTGGGCCTATCATCTACCCGTCCTTCATTCATAGATTGTTTTATTTATAGAAGCTGTAGCACGGCTTCCATGAATGAAGCACCTAGGCAGAAAGGGTGGGAATAGTCAGGTTCTCTTGATGAAAGCCTGTGACAGCCCCTTGGTTGCATTGACCCCCACCATACCAGAATATTACAATGACAGATATAGGCGGGCATTGAGGGAGGAGGATTTCAACTAAAAAAAGAGGAATCAGCAAAAGCGTCACATTCAGTTGATTGTAAGTTATGTCCCTAGTGATGATTTTCCTGTTTTTTATTTTGACTTGGGCTTTATAGTAGGACTAAACCCTTCTATCCATTACAGCCAACCCAGCATTCATTTTAGCCTCTGCTTGATTTGCAGCTGCCATAATGCTGTACATGTGATCAGTTATGATTCCAGCCATTTGATGGCTTGATTGATTTTGTTGAGAGGCAAGTAACTGACAATTACCATTTACGGCATGCCTTGAATGTAACTGTTTTAGGAAACCGTTAAATTGATGGGTTTAGTTCTGCCTTAAGTGATCTGAAATCAGCTCAATGTGATATCTGGTCACTTATCACTCATTTCTTCAAATTGCCATTTGTATTAATTAAGCTTAAAATAGGAAAAACAAGGTGTTATGCATTTCAAGCACTGGTAAAGTGTAGACACACAAAAAACATCAGAAAGGCTGTAACTACAGTGCTAAAATATAGTCAATCTGGACTGAGCACAGAATTGAGTATTCAATAAAAAAAAAAAAAAAAAATTCTATTAGGTAAAATGATCCAAAAATCAAGCTTCAGTCAAGTGTAGTCCTACATGTATTCCACTAGATGTCTCCGTTTCTAGCACCAAAATTGGCAGCCCTTAAAGTTAGCAAAAAAGAAAAGAATTTGTGCTCCAGGAGGTATGTTTATAAACACAAATCTGCTAAATATTCACAAGACAAAGCGGCACAAAGTACATAGTTGACGAACCTTTCTCACAACCCAAAAGGAAAAGGCTCAGATTTTTACAAAAATTGTATTATTCCATTATGGTACAGTAATCGTGTTGATGTTAAAGTAGAAACTTGGCAAAAGAAAGTACCAAGCAGATATGTGTAATTATAAATGTGTAATTCGATGTGTTGTTCTTGATTTTTCAATCTATGCCACACTTACACACCTATATCCAGGAAATAATTCCAGCTCTCTTGGTGTTAGATGACGAAATCCTAGGACATCATCTTTCCACGAAGGCTCCTGAAAAATTAACATTTTTAGAATTTTACTATATTTGTGAGGAAAATTCAAAAATTAACGGTTTTCATCTGTTTTTAGATTAGTTTATTCAGCCACTACAATTACATTAAAATACTATTGGAAATTACACACAGGTTCCAGGGCTAAAAAAAAAAAAAAAAAAAAAGTGAAAATACCTGGATTTTGTACTCGCTCTTAAACCCTTTTCTAGGAAATGCATTGAGAGACAAGATTTAAACACAACTGGGTTATACTGCCGCCTACAATATTGTAAAAAGCAGTGCCAAAAGCAAGATCATAAACACAGTGGAGTGGGGCCTGTGTGTAATGAACTTCCGTGAAAAACATTTTATAGTGTGTACACAAATCCAATAATTATTTCCAAATTGAGAGACAAAGGATCTAAAGACAATTGAGACATCCAAAAGCAGTTCAACTGAGGAAAGGGCAATACAACAACAAAATGCCAAAAGGCCAAACTATAATAACAGAAATAAATAACTGGGGACTGCCCAAAAGGACCTTATGCCCAAAGTTAGCATCAGAAGACCAGGTGGCTACCTGATGTTGAAAAGCATGAGAACTTAGATTTAGTAAAGTGTTTTAACTTTAATGGTGGAACCCAATTCTTAAGACCATAGTCTTGAATTATAATTTGTCTGAACCACCAAAAAGTGGTGGAATGAGAAGCTGGCTCCCATTTGTGGGGATCATCAGAGGTGACAGAGAGGGAGTCAGTCTTTCTATTGGAAGCAGTGACTGCTGGGTAGACATGCACAAATCAAACTACATCCAGACAATGAGGGTAAATCTCCTTGTGATGTACTGGACCTGGACAGAGGGAGGGAAGTACAACATCCTGGTTGAGTTGAAAGACTGAAAACTGCCTAAGAAGGGAACAAGGCTCTAGACTTTAATACCACTTGTATGTCCACAAAAGATTGCCCACAGGACAAAATGCCCAACTTAGACACACCTTATGTGGGAGTGGGAGGTGATGGCAACAAGGAATGCAACCTTATGGGTGAGAGTGGAAAGTGGAATATCCCTGATAGGTTCAAACGGTGGTATCTGAAGTGCTCAGAGAATCAAATTTAAAGTCCACTTAGCCACAGGTGGGCACCCAGGGGGAGCTACATAAACACCTTGTGCAAATGTCCATATCAAAGAATGGAAGGTTAAAAGTATATTGAACTAGATCACAAGCACTGAGCTCTGTTAGCACTCAATGTTAATTGTTAATACAAGCCTGAGTGTATAAAGGTCAGGATTCACCCAACAAAGTATTTTCTGGGATGAAGATGTATTTCCTTTCACCAAGCAATATAGGCCTTATATGTGCAATAGTAGACCTTACAGGAAGTGGACTTATTGGCTTGTAACATCATACGGATTACCTAGAAAGGAACCTGTGCTGATTGTTCTTTCAACAGGAGGATGTCCAGATACCCAAAAATTGGGGATGTGCTGTGAGTGTAACAAGACAAGCACAGGGGCTAGAACATTGATGAGCACACAGACTGTGAAACACAGACCAATTGGCAAAGCCACAAACTGAAGTGCTGAGGACCTACAACAATAAGGAATCACTGATGTGCTGGAAGAATAGGGACATCCAAGTACACCTCTTTGATGTCTACAAATGTCAGAGTCTCCCTGATGACAGACCTGGTGGATTACATATGGAATTTTTGAGACTGAATGAAGACATTTAGGCCCTTAAAATCCAAGATGGGGCAGATGCTCCCTTTTGGCTTTGGAAATGTAAACAGGTGGGACTAGAATCCCTAAAACCTTTCAATACAGGAGCTGGAATGATAAACTCTTGTGAGTTATTTTCCAAGCACTTTTTAATCCATTTATGGTTCTTAAAGTATGCACGATGAGGCCTTATCTTAATTCTTTTGAGCTACTGTTGGTGAACAAAGTGTCATCTTTGATTAGGAAATCTTGAGATGCAAGCTAGAAATGGAAGGGATGCCTGCTGCTGAATTTTAAGAGATCTGGAATCTGATAAAAAACCCATTTAAAGGGGAAGGTGCACTGAGACCCATTTTGTGTATAGGTCAGTCCATGAAGGCGAGCAGTTAGTGCGATTGGTGGTGGATCACACATGGTGTTTTATATTAAGAAACTTGGCCCATCACAAGTGGAATGTGGATTATATGTTGGACTTAACTTAATAGTTTCACAAGGTGAAATTTGCACAACACATATTGGAACACATTGGGGGATTCCACCACTATTGTTGTACCAAGTGTGTTGTAATTTATACATGGCACAGTATATATTTAATAAGATTAGAGTGTAGAAACACTTGTATTATCTTTGGGGGTTCCCACCAATTATTTTTCACATATGAATAGATGACAATTTAGGAGGGAGGTTGGGCAGCATTAGTTTGAGGAGTGAGAACATAGTGTTATCAGCAACCAAGGAAATTTTTATTTGGATTAGGGGAGTTATTTTTATACTCAGATTGGTAGCACAGTGTTTTTTCTTTGACTTTATTCCTTGCCTCAGAAGAACTGCAAGGCTACACTGTGGTCTTCTAATCTAACCAGTGACATCCCTATGTGTATGGGAATAGTATTTGCATGGAATATTTTAGTAGTCTTAGGGCCTCTTGGGGATCCTATACTAGTAGCAACACTGTTGGAAGCTACAGGCTTCTCCTTTATCCTTATGATAGCATGCCCTTTATCAATAATAGCAGAGATGGTCTATTTCAGTCTGGGACCTATGGTTGCTACCTGTAATTCCTCAGAAACAAACCCATCCTGTCAGGATTTGTGAGGTTATTCATCAGATAGAGGATCAGCAACTGAAGGTTTGGAGGCCCATAAAGTTGCAGGCAGGATAGATCATTGTGGAAGGGAAGGCACTTATGTCCTCTGAGCAGAGTCATTAAAAAACCCTGCAATTTGGCTCATAACATCCTGCATAATTGAGATAAAGTCCACAGGGGTTAAAACGGAGGAAGGGGCCACACCTGATACAGCCAAGCAGGACTCAGTTTAAAAGCTGTTGGTGTCAAGCCCTTATGAAGGAGCATTGCAGGCCGCCCCAGAACAGTTAGTGGATCGTGATTGTGTTTGGGATCCAATATGTTGCACCTCAAGCAGGGTCAATTTAGTCACACATAGTAAAACCTTGAGCACTCACAAGCTGCCTGTTGGAAGCAGGAGGGGTTCAAATGGTTGGAGATGAGTAGATTACTGTAGGCGGTAGCAGAGACTCACTGAGGCGAAAATGGTTAAGTCCTCATGCACACTGGACATTTTTACAGCTGCGGTTTTTGGCTTTTGACATTTTTTCTACAGTCAGTAAACTCCCCAGCATGTTATCTTATGTGTCCATGGACACACACTAATCAATGTTTTTTGGCAGGGACTTTTTTTGGCTGGAAAAAAACCCCCCAGAACTAGTGGGTTTCCAGAAGAGTTTTTTTAGCTGTAAAAACGCTCTAATGCTGAAAAATGCGTCAAACGTGGTAAATCAGCGTTTTTGGACATTTTGTACTAAAAAAAAAAAACCCCTCTAAAAACACGAAAAACGCAAACGCCACTAAACACTAGTAGAAAAACGTTAAAAAACACTGAAAAACTCACGTTTTCAATGTGACTTTACACAGCTAACTTTACCAACGTTATTAAAGCGCCCAGTGTGCATGGAGCCTAAATAGTGTGTCCTAATAATATAAAAGGTGTATACTTGTGAGCTACTATGATTTAAAAAAGGTGTTTACAATTAATTATTTAAATAAAATGGTGCATCAACACATAAACCACATACTCAAATCATTATGTGAAAAATAGACAAAAAATAAAATAATATATGTGTTGCGCTCCTCAAAATATTATTACATAATATATATAATAATAAATGTGTATTTGAAATAAATTAAATAAATAAATAAAATAAATGTAATCTCATAATAATATAATGTGAGTAAAGTGAAAACGTGCCCAGTGCTGTGATTAATATAAAGATAACTAAAAAATGATGTGTATAAATATTAAAAAAATATAATCTATTGTGCCACAAATCAAATAAATAAAGAAAAACCTCTTTGATTAATAATAAATGAGTGCAAAAAATTATGCATGTGCAAAAATTGCAAATATTGCCCTAAACACTGAGAAATATATATATATATATATATGATAAAAAATCACATATATATAACACCCAATTAATTATATGAAAAATGATAAATAATAATAAATAGTACTAAAAATTATGCAGATCATATATAGTTATCACTCCACTTGTACCGCTTGAGACGGTAATTAGGATTACATGCTCTTAATGCTTATTTAGGCTGAAATGTGAACGTCCCAATCTATGTGGATATATGGAAAGTCTAAAGATGTGGTAGACTGTAATGTTGCTTTCCTTCCACTAGATGGCCTCCCAGTTTCTTCCAAGTATGACGGATGAGTGGATAGATATAGGTATCTCCCCTCGTGTGATTTTGGGTCTGTCTCCTCTTCCTCCCCTTTGCTCCTCCGAATTAGGCCATGAAAAAGAAGAGAAATCCCCACATGGTGCTTATATCCTTTAAAAAGATTTTAATGTGTCTCCTGACAATTGCACACTCACATTGCCAAAAATCAATACAAAGCGTTTTTTTAAAATTTTGTGCCCGCGCACAAGGACAGTACTCGCCGTTCCTACGATGTTGGCGTCGTGACGTCAGAGCCCCTCCCCTACGCGTTACGCCACAGGGTCACGTGGCTTCCTCAGGGGGATGTAATACGACGCCATGACGCTGTCGCCCTTATATAGGCAATTACAGCGCCATTTTCCCGGAGTCCGCACGGAGGCGGCCATCACTATGGGGCCAAATGCTTATTATTAGTCCTGCGATATATAGATATCCAGGACATATTTCTTATATTAATATATCAATATTTAACACCCTTTTACTCTGACTTAATGTCACTAGTGCTGTGATCGGGACCATCAAATACAATAACTATATAAACAGAGTCCTTTAATTAAACATGTAAATAATCATGGCACTTGTAGTGCCTCCATTTAAATTTAAAAAAGTTTTTATTTAATAATTTTAAAATAATATAACTGCAAGAAGGAACTAATTAAATGGTTTATAGGGGAAAATTGATAATGTGAATAGTTATGTGTGAATGTTTTCATTTAAAAATTGGCTATAGAAATAAAGATGAAATGAGAATAAAAAATAAAAAAATAAATAATAAAATTAAAATGAAAATAAAAAGAAAAAAATAAAATTAACAAAAAAATAAATATAAGATTAAAATAAAAAAATATAATAATGGAAATAAAATGAAATAAAAAAAAAAAAAAAAAAAAAAAAAAAAAAAAAAAAAAAAAAAATAAAAATAAAAATAAAAATAAAATATAAATAAAAATAAAAAAAAAAAAAATAAAAAAAAAAAAAAAAAAAAAAAAAAAAAAAAAAAAAAAATAAAAATAAAAATAAAAATAAAAAAATAAAAAAAAAAAAAAAAGAAAAAAAAATAAATATGAAAAAAAATAATAATAAAAAAAAATAAAAATAATAAATATAAATAAAAATAATAGTAATAAAAAAAAATGAAAAAAAAATGAAAAAAATAAAATAATGAAATAAAAAATAAATTATATAAAAAAAAAAAAAATAAAAAAAATAAAAAATAAAAAAGCAGTACTGGTGGGAAGGTGCTATCTCACACTGAATGGCAGGAAAAGAGTGGAGTGTGGGTGTGACATTCCAGCTAGTGAGGCAGCACTCAAATCCTCAGAATTGGAAACCAATGAAAAAAAAAAGATAGTAATGGTGCCTAACAGTTCTAATAAACAAAGTAGCTCCTGGTGCTTGGACCAAAAACCTACCCATTAATTTTCAGCCATACCGTAGATTTTGCCATTGCTCTGGATTTTTTGTTTATGTCATTTAATGGTCCGCTACATGGTTTCTAGTCAACAAAAGTAATGCAGCAAGCAGGAAAGTGTGTAAAATATGGAATGTAAGACCCAGTATCTGGAGCAGCAGGGGAAACAGAAGGCAGCTTCAAAGTAGAGATGTGGTCATCTCATCTTTCTCTGCATGTTTTTTGCTCTAGATTGTTAACTTTACAATTCAGTTGTTGCAATCTCTGTCCATAGCCATCTATTTAACTTTGTGCTGTGTTACTTGCTTTATTACATCATACAAATTGTATTCAGCTTTAATTTCAAGCTGCATAACTTTTGACATAAATCCTAACATAGCACAAAGATCAGTTTAAAAAAAAACAGATGATTGTGTACTGAGTGACTTGGATCGTGCACAAGGACATTCTATCCCCTTCTGGTAACAGCACTTCTATTGCTCTCCTCCCCCAATGCTTGAGCCAGCATCCATGCAGAAGCAGTGAGTGTGCTTGTGTTGGGTTAGGCCTAAGTTACTTTTAGTCTCATAAGTGAGTTAAAATAGAAGATGCAAGTAAGTAAAGCATTAATAAAAGAAAAATCATATCCAAATCCCAGCACCAATAATGCAATATTAGGAAATTCAATTTACTTTTTGCCTTACCATGTTTAACAAATCCCTATAGGTGCAAGTTGTCATAAATATATGGATACCTATGACTATACAAAATCCAGATAAGGGCAATTGTGTCATTATGGTGTAGTGAACAGCTTCACAAATGTGCTACTGCATCATAATGACCTTATTTGAGAAGGCTTTATATATCATGTGCACACCTGTCAGTCTATTCTAAGGGAGGGGGAAAATGTTTCCATACACTGCTAGATGGTAATGGGTTCAAAGAATTGGCTGACCCAGTGGCATGGCAGATTTCAGCCAAACTTATCAGCACATTACTACATGCTGTGATGTAGGAATGGGGATAAGTGATTGCAAAACCCTGTTTGTTTTCCTGCTAAGAATTATAATTACTGATGTAAAAGTGAATAGAAACTAGAAGATTTGGAGAGAAAATTTACAAGCATGATCAGTTATATTTGGTCAATAGCACAAACAATACAACTGTTACCATCAATTTCAAGCAGACTATGTGCATTCGGGATCTTTCCATCAGTGGAACCAAATTTATCATACAAATAAGTTTCATTTTAGCTCAAAAATCACCTTGTAACAAATAATTAAAATGGTCCCTTTGTATTGGTGTAGCACCCTCCTATGTAGCTAGGGGTAGCTAGACTCAAATTGTTGAACAGGGGCTGAGTAGCAGCCCGGATGCAACAGTCAGGAGGTTAAATGTGGGTCAGAGCTGAGAGGCTCTGCAGGCTAGCTCTCTGAGTCTTCCCCCTGCCCTAGAACTTTGGAGAAAATTCTAGAGGCAGTGGGCGGAGGTGTGGAGTGGCTGGTCTTCACTCTTGAGGTATCCTGACCAATCTCCAACAGGAGGCTTGGCATAGGGTCAGGATTGCTCTTAACATGGCAGCCTGCTCAGCTGCAGGAGAGTTCGGGAGGAAGATGTAAGGCTGCAGGAGCCTGGGAGGGAGAGGGGCTCACCTCCAGGCAGAAGGAACTGGGAAGGCTTAAAGCTTGGAACTTCACCGGCCCTCAGAGAGGACCACCTGTGTGGCAGGAAAGGAGTGGCCCAGCTAGAAGGCCTGGTAGCAGCCACTGACTCACCAGCAACACAGGAGAAGGACTAAGTGAGTACACCTGCACCCCCTGGGCCAGATAGGGGAAGGAGGCACTCTAGTGGGAAACTAGATTAGCCTGCCATCCAGGACTGTTTCACCCTTTATGTGACAGACACTGGATCCTGTCTGGGGATTCCTCCAGGCAGCCAGATAGAGGAGCATCTGGGGTCTGGGGTGGTACTACAGGAGACGCTGGATAGCTCTCCAGAAGAAACTGTTTGCTGTAACCACTTGTACATAGTTCAGGAAGTTGTTCTCGGTTTCTCTGTTCCATTGGGCATCCCGAACACCCCTTACCCCATCCAAGTTCTAAATCCCCTAATAAAACTTCAAAACAAGCGCTCAAGGACTGGTCACTGATTCCTGAATGCAAGTCTGTGGAAATGCATGTTGCCTGGATGTGCAAGACTATAAGGGGGATCCAAAACTTCAGCAACTCCTAAGGGGGTAGTGCTACATTGGTGTGAAAAGAAAGCTAAAAAAAAAAAAAAACCCAAAGCTTTCACTGTGCGTATAGGCCATTTCAAATTTAAAGTGCATAGTATAAATAAAAGAAAAACTCTGATTGCTAAGAGTAACATAAAATCTCATTCTTGAGAGAACTGTACACTATGGTAATATAATCTTGGCTCATCATAGGATACATGTATATTAGATCCAAGCAGAAGAACAGACAAAAAAGATGTAAGCACAATGATAAGGGGAATGCATTTAACAGTTACATACAGTATATGCATGGTAATTTAAAGTGACACTAAATTCTGGTTTAAAAAATAACCTTTTAGTTATGTATTAATTCACAAAAGTACCTTCTATTACACTCAGCCTGCTCCAAATCTCCAATTTCCTTTATTTTGTTGCTGTGATCTGACTGTCTGTTAAAAACAGAAACAGACCACCTCTCTTGCTAGCTCCCAAGATGAACTCTGGTTTATATACTATATAGGATTTTTGCATACAGCAGTGCACGTTATTGCAACTGACATACAAACGGTGAGGGGCAGAAATGAGGTCTAAGAGCTCAGAGGAGGACATTACAAGGAGGTAGAAAAACAAAGTAAAAAACAATTTCCAGAAAAACATTACAGGGCCACCAAGTAGTAGATGTGTACTATTTCTGAAGAATAAGGATGTTATTTAGTGTCACTTTAAAACTGTAAACTTTAATATACTGTATGTGCAGTATACTGTGCAGCAAAATAACTGTCTAATCTATTTACATACAGGTGCAGGTTCCTTTAGAAGATTGTATCCCGACTGCAGAAATAACCCCATGTTTTGGGCATCTTCCGAATGTACAAACTTTAGCAGATAATCAAAGGTTTCCTTGTTCCATCGGCTGAAAAAAAAGGGGAAAACCACTTTCAATTTTTGACTCAACATAAGAAAAGACAAACACAGGAAACTAATAAGAAAAACTAAACATTCACTAGGAATTTACAGTATATGCAGTAAACTCAATTAAAGACAATTGAGAATCCTATTTAAAGTAAAACTGCGGTGCATCTGAGCACCACAAACCAAAAATGCTATATAATTCATTGTTAATATTCAAAGCAAACTCCTCCACCCATCCATGTCTTCATGCCTTATTTTGCTGAGAAATCATTTTGAAAAACACCCCCTGGTATTTCTGGCAGTGTCCATCTTGAGTAAGGGCAGATGGTTCTTGTAGCATTTACTTCCTGGAATCCATCTGCCCTTAGCACAGGCATTGGCTGAGCCTGGAACCCTCCCTCCCCTCCTGAAGGCTCCCGGGATGTAGGACATCATTTGGCTAGGCATGAAAACGAGGAAGTAACTGAAGCAATTTAAAAAAAAAGTTTAAAACATGTAAATATGATATATAAAACTTTCCTATTTACTAATGCTAGCAGCATAAGGATTAAAAATAGTCAATGTTGATCGCAAGAGTGAAGTTCCACTTTAAGTAAAACACTGCGGGGGCATGACGGCGTGAGGACATGTTCCTGCAGAGCTCCCGGTCAGTGGCTCCCTTGCAGCATTACCCCGCCACCTTACCTCACATTACTGGTTCCCGCTAGGTCACCAGCTGGTGAAACACTCCGCCACTTCCTGTCATGCAATGGTCCTGAAGCCACAACACCAGGCAGCCTCCACACCAGCATCTTCCAAAATGGTGCCGGCCCGCCATGTGGCTCTACACGCAGAGGAGACCACGGACACTCACAAACCATCCCAACGGCCCTCAGACAATTACACCATTCTCTTCTCTCAGTTACCTCTCTCAATGACTCCCACGATCCCTGGCTGTCTCTACCGACGCTGAGGACTCGTTGGGCCTGGGCACTCGGCCTCTCCCCCTACTCCAGGGGGACGTGGAGGTGATTTCAACGGTGCAGCTCGGCTGTGGATGCAGGGAGGACGAAATCCCCCTACCAGGACTCAGTGAGTAACCCATCTCCAGAGCCTTCCCTGAGGGAGGATGCAGAACACAAACTCTGGGCATTCTTACAACAGTTGCCCAAAAAATCTTATTTTGAGTATCTAGTTGTTAGAATGAAAGCTGCCATCAGGGGAGAGATTCAGAGCCTTAAACAGGAGATGGCCTCTTTGGATACCAGGATTGTGGGTCTGGAGCAGGGACAGGGTTCTGTGTCCAACATTGTACAAACCCTGCAATCCTCCAGCACTGAGCTCACAGACCAAGTCATCCAGCTGCAGCTTTTATTAGATGACCTGGAAAACCGAAGCCGCAGACAGAACATTAGACTGCGGGGGATCCCCAAATCCATCCCACGGTCGGGGCTGCACCCAACAGTTACCGCCATTTTCAACCATTACCGCCATTTTCAACCGTTACTTGGACCACCCACCCGACACTGACATTGTCATTCACAGAGTCCACCGCACCTTGGGCCCACAGTCCTCTTCCTCTGCTAGACCCAGAGATGTTTTATGTCTCCATTAATTTACCCTTAAGGAAGATATTTTACAACTGGCCTGGCGAGTAGGCATTCTGGCGTTTGATGGCGCATTTATACACCTTTTGCCGGACATTTCCAGAAAAACTGATGATACGCAGGACACTTAAACCACTACTAGATGGTCTTGGGGAGCACGGATTTACCTACAAAAGGGGCCATTCATTCCATCTCGTGGTCCCGAATGGCATGCATACCTTTCCTCTACGCCATCCTGTGGATCTACCGGATTTGTCCACCTTTGCAGGGATGGACTCGATCCATGTACCCAATTGGTTGCTGGTGTCCGTACCCCAGAATCCACACTGTCGAGAGCCCCCTGGCAGACCTCAGCGCACCCGGAAAAACAGACTGCCTGGCAGGAACCCACCTCAGCCCCGCATGCACCCGGCCTCTCAGTGCCCAGTGAGGGCTGCAGAGGCCACTGCTTGAACTCTCCTGCATCATCTATGAAACGGTTTTACTGTTTTATACCTGGTTGCCATTTGTTGCCTAATATGAGCCATCGGCCCCCATTGCACACCTATCCGTGCTGTGTGTGGGGAGCCTGAACCTGGCCCAAGGTTTTGATCACATTTGAAGGGGGTATTTTTCCTCCTGCATGCCTTTGTCCACATTCCTGTCCCATGGCCAGCTGAGGTTCTTCCATACAAGGACGTACAGTGTCCTCTCTGGAGGTGTGGTGTCATGCCCGGATGTCCGCCCTCTGACTAGGGGCCTGAACATTCTGTGCCTGCAACTATGTTTTCCCACCTGCTATAAGAGGAATTACTTCTCTTCTCCACCATCACCTGGCCATTCTCTATCCACGGGACGGGTGTTTGGACACTGGACTCCCCTGGAGTCGGAGAGGCTTCTCCTCTCTAACCAGCAAATACTATCTTTACTACCCATTGATGCCTAAGACATATGGTTTTCAAAGTGGGCCTGTCTCTGCCCATCTTATTGGACAGCTACGTGAGTGCTTGGTCATGTTTGAGTGTGCATCCGTCTGATTGATCGCGTACCTGTAGGCATACATGTACTCAGTTATATTGTTGCTTCTTTTTTCCCCCCAAAGGGTATCCAAAGGTTAATTTTGTTTTTTATGTAATACTTTACTTATTACGCTGACTACCGGATTTTGGTTATTGCTGTTTTAGGGAGCCCAACCAATCGGGACTATACCTGCTTAAGCCTTTCCACCTGCCACCCTAGGGTCACTCTGCCCTGGTGTCAGTAGCTTTCCTTTAAGGAACCTCTGTAAACAGCTCTTTCCTTCCCTTTTTTTCCTTCCTACTTTTTTCTTTTTTTTTTTTTTTTAATCTTGCCTCCTTAATACAGGGAGCGGGCGACCCTAGCTACTGTTTCTTTGCCACAATGGCCCTTAAATTCCTTTCCTGGAATGTCAAGGGGTTAAATTCCCCTGAAAAGCATACCAGCTGTCTTACTGAACTCTGGAGATGTAGAGTGCATATAGCCTTCCTCCAAGAGACCCACTTTCGAGTTGACAAGGTCCCAAAATTCACCATTATTTCCCATTGGCTTAACATTGCCATTCCTCAACCTCTAAATCTAAAGGAATGAGTATCCTTATAGCTAGAACCCTTTCCTGACAGTTCCTTGATGAACAGCGAGATCTAGAGGGAAAGTTCTTGCTCCTGAAAGGAAAGATTGATTCCCAAACAAACATTCACCCTCGTGAACGTTTACCTTCCTAATTTGAACCAGTTGTTGGTTCTGGAATCATTTCTACGCACCTTGGAATCCTTTCTCAATGGCACCCTTGTCTTGTGGGGGTTTCAATTTCACCTTAGACCCTCAAGGATTCCTCGGCGGGCTCATCTTCGATGCCCCGAAAAGAACGACTCCGCCTTTTGCATACCTATCAATTGGTTGATATGTGGAGGATTCTGCACCCTCAGGAGTGTGATTACACCTTTTATTCTTCTGTACATGGCTCTTATTCCAGAATTGACTTTTTCCTGATGCAACACCGGACGATTCCCATGATCTCTAAGACAGATTGCACTGATCACGCTCCAGTTTCCACATGGCAACTTAACGACCATCTTCTTAAGGACCCTGAAATTGCTAAGGAGGTCCACAGGGAACTTACTTCTTACTTTTCTTCTAACGTGAACTCAGTCTTATGTCCCAGCCCTGCTAGATTCAACTGGTGCCAAACCCCACACCCCTTCAGATCGGACAAAAGTTTTTTGCGTCTAATCTCAAACTCTACAACATAGACCCAGGGGGTCATCTACTACCTTGACCTGCCCTTCCCTTGATTCCATTTGGGAAAACCTATGGGATGCTAATCTCCCTGCCCTTACCCCAGAAGAACAGGAGACACTTTCTCAACCTGTTACAGCAAAAGAATTTGCCGCAGCCATTGCTCCTACCCAAACAGGGAAGGCCCCCTGGGCCGACGGATTCTCTGTTTTATTATAAAAGATACCAGGACTACTTGGCACCTCATTTTCTGTCCTCCTTCAGTGCTAAACTAGAGAGACATGTCATCCACCAGGACATGTTACGAGCTTCCTTTGCAGTAATCCTGAAACCTGATAAAGACCCACTATTGTGTTCCAGTTATAGACCTATTTCTCTTTTGAACTGTGACATTAAACTCTTTAGAAAAATCCTGGCTATGCGCTTGAACGCTCTAATGCAACATCTCATTGCACCTGATCAAGAGGGTTTTGCACAGACGAGAGAAATCAGAGACACTATCCGCACTCAATGTTATTGAGAAGGCAAAGAGATCCTGCGTCCCTATACTGCTCTTGTCAATGGATGCTGAAAAGGCACTTGATCGACTGGACTGGAGGTTTCATCAGGAGACACTCAGTTATGTCGGGATGCCAACACCCATTCTGCACTGGATCTCAGCCTTGTATACTAACCCCACAGCTACTGTCCGAGTGAATGGCCTAGACTCCAACCCCTTTCTAATCTCGAATGGCACCAGACAGGGCTGCCCCCTGTCACCCCTGCTATTTGTCTTCACTCTACAGTCTTTCCTTCATCACATCAACTCCCACCCAAACATTAGTGGAGTACAGGAGGGTACATTTCAACTCAAAGTGGTGGCCTATGCTGACGACCTTTTGTTCTTTATTGCTAACCCACTGACCTCCTTTGCCTTCTGTTACACAAGCTGAAGCAATATGGGACTCTCTCCAAGTTTAAAGTTAATCTCCAAAAATTGTAAGTCTTGAATGTCTCCATACTGGAAATCCGCACTGGCGAGTCTTCGTCCCTCCTTCCCATTTAAGTGGGCAAATCTTTCCCTTCAATATCTCAGGACAAAAATTCCCTCCAATCTGAAAGATGTTTTCCTCCTGAATTTTCAACCTTTCTTGAATCCGTTGGCGGCAGACCTCCAGAAAAGGGGCAGCCTTGCTGTTTCCTGGTTTGGCCGTTGTGATATACTTAAGGTGAACGCCATGCCCAGACTCCTGTATTTGTTAAACTTTACCGATTAAGATACCCCAGAGCTTTTTTCACACTGTGCGTTCATATAGCAAGGGAAGCATCCACGTATAGGACGGGCCATACTGTTGAGACCAAAACTCAAAGGTGGCATTGGCTTCCCGGATCCTGCCCTGTATTGTACGCTGTACATATGACAAGAGTGGTAGATTGGTGCAGACATGGCAAAGTGAAACTAGTGGGATAGCCTTGGGTGGGAAAGATGCACACTGCCTACTTGGCCTTGCACCCGGTCATTGGCCCTACATTGGCAGAGATGGACAGATTCTTTCGATTATCTTCCCTATCCGGCTTTCCTTCACCGATGACGTCAGTCATTGGACACCCAGGCTTTCCACAGGGCCTTATGAACCCAAAGTTTGTAATGCAGTCCTCGATAAGACTACTCTCTGCCTCTTACTTTGACCTCCTAACTGGATCCCTACTCAGACACTATTGGACAGACAAATGCCTATAGCTCTGGACCATCAGAGAGCTCTTCAGTTTTCACACTTTTTAGGCTCCATGCCTAAGCTAGCGCTCTTCTCTTGGCAGCTTCACTCCTTTAAGGAGCTCTGTGTGCAGAAAGGCCCAACCCGAGGTAGACTTTAATCCTGCTATAAAACTTTGTTAGACCTCCATGTAACTACTGATCCCCCTTTCTTAGCTAAATGGGAAAGGGATCTGCAGATGAGTTTTACCAAACCCCAGAAAGAACATATCCTCTTTGGGCAGAAATCTTTGCTCTACAGCAAATATCAAGAGTCCTCTTATAAAATTATTGCCTGCTGGTACACGACTCCTTTGGTCCTAGCCAAACTCTATCCCAACCAATCGGACCATTGCTGGAGATGTGAACACCCGGGCACTATCCTCCATATCTCCTGAGAATGTCCTAAACTACAGACGTTCTAGAAACCAGTGCTCCAACTCATACACAAATTCACAGACATATCTCAATATAATGACCCAGCAGCAGTCCTCAACCTCATTCCTATGTCTAGGAAACAATATCAGAAATCTCTCCTTACACACCTAAATGAGGCATGAGTGCATCCCATGTGAATGGAAACAACAGACAGCCCCTACTGTGACTCAGTGGTTTGCCAGGGTAAATGACATTGAACAGATGGAGAATCTGACCTCAGATATCTGGGACAAATAAGAGGAACATAAGAACAGGTGGTTTTACTGGGGACCTCTTTCGCTCCTCATATGAATACCTCCAATATACCTAATATTTGCCCTTCATGCTTGAACCAGGGGCCATATAGAATGGCTGGGTGGTGCGGATCCCTGCTTCCTGATGACCTAGTGTTCCCTTGTCCCCCCCCTTTTTATTTTCTCCCCTTTTTTCTTCTTCCCCATCTCTCCCTTTCTCCTTTTTCTCTTCCCTTTTCTTTACTAGAATGTAAAAAGAAAAATCTGGTATGCTCAGTCCTCAAGAACTAGTTCTGCAGTGGTCTTCCCTCTTTCCTGACCCTCTAGTTTTGACTCTGTAGACACTGTTTGGGGAGGCATGTAAGGTGTTCTCTCTATGTACAGATGGCTCACTATTTACTTTTTGGATGTTACACTTCTGTTTATCTTATATGGTTGGTGAAGTCACCTTTTCATGTAATTTCATTGTTACTGTCGCATACTACTAAATAAAGATTATAAAAAAAAAAAAAATTAAAACACTGCACCATTATCACTCTGGTGACTTACGTTTCTTGTTTGTTCCCATTGTCATATAGATACGGCTGCCAGTGCCCGGCTGCTCCATCACTTGTGGTGAGTGGGGTAAACTTATCTGCATAGATCTCAATCTTCAGAGGGTGCACTGTGCGGTGGTACTGATCATGAATACACAGTGCTGTGGACAGGCCAATCACTCCAGCTCCAATTATGGTGACATGCATTTTCCTGACTGACAATCCCCGGCTGGAAAACAGGTAAATTGTAAAACAGGTAAATTGTAAAGTTACGCGTGATGCTTATCCATTTTATAGCATTAAATAGTCCACCTAAAACTGATATTTCAGATTTTGGTTGATTCTGTCATTGAGTTTCTAGGTAAACACACCTGCTGACATTAGAAGGGGATCCTCTCCACCCTTCCTCCCAGATTTGTAATTACCATATTTTTCTCTCCATAAAGGCGCACACTTTTTTCCCCCAGAAATGGGGGGAAATGTCTGTGTCTTATGGGGCAAATATGGAGCGGCCGGCCTGGTATTCCCCCAGTCACCGTGTTAGAATACCGGGCCAGTTGCTTGGCTCTACTGTGCAGAAGAACCTGCTCCTCGGTCCTACCTGTTCCACGTGTCCTGCTTTCACCGGCCGTCCTCTCTCCCTGGTGCCGGCATCTTCAGTGTGGGCACCCGGCTGTGACAGCCAGAGGACACAGCGATCACAGACTGCACCGGGTGTGCGCCACTGGGGACGCACGGGGGCGTGTTCTGGGAGGACATCATATGATGTCCTCCCAGAACTGGACTACCACTCTGTAGCCGTCCTTCAGCAATAGCGTGGTAGTAAAGTGGTTAAAAGTATCCACAGCTTTATCCCTGACCTGTCTGGTGTGTTCCCTGGCCTTCATGATGCTGTTTGTTTACTAGTGTTCTCTAACAAACCACTGAGGGTCTCACAAAACAGCTGTATTTATACTGAAATTAAATTACTCTATTTACTGATTAGGTGACTTCTGAAGGCAATTGGTTTCACTAGATTTTAGTTAGGGGTATTAAGAAGTAAAAGGGGCTGAATACTCAATGGCACGAGCCACACTTTTCAGATATTTATTTGTAAAAAATCTTGAACCATTTATTATTTTTCTTCACACTTCACAATTATTATGCCACTATGTTGGCCTATTCACATAAAATCCCCCAATAAAATACATTTTACGTTTTTGGTTGAAACATGACAAAAATGTGGAAAATTTCAAGGGGTATGAATACATTTGCAAGGCACTGTATACAAGCCAACAGGTGGATGAAGCATGCCTCTGAGTTACACAAAGCCACAGGTTTTCACTGTGCACCAATACAACCTTCAGCCACCGGTGTCCTAACAACCATTGAAGAATAAATCACCTCTAATGTTGGGTGTCCTACGGTGTGGATGTTTGCTGCATTATGTAAAACTATTTGCTTAACTTTTTCTTTGTGTAATGAAAAAAGGCTGAGAAAACACTATCTATAATAATAACCAGCTTCGATGATCATATACTCAGCGGTTTCCTCAACCTGGGGGTAGCGACCCCTTTGGGGGTCGAACCGACCATTTGCCCAGGGGTCTGCACGAAGAACCATCGGAAAATCACATATATCTCCGATGGTCATAGGAACCGAGGACACCAGCTTCGCTCACCCTCAGTCTCAGGCGATGTGTCTGTGGGTCGTATGATACGCTGCTTCTCCTGTTCACCATGGCCACACCTCCGGGATCGCTCAGCAGCTCCTGCCTCCTTCGCCGCTGATTGGCACAGCCCGAGAAACTGTAGCTCAGGACGAGCTCACACAGGCGGCCAATCACGCGGCGAGGAGGTGTGGAGCTTGGAGAAGGAGGAGTACGCAGCGGCAGCGCCGGCCTTAACATCAAAGAAGGAATTCGAGGGAGCTGGCCCGGAGGAGGATTGAATAGTGGAGACGCGGCCAGAGAAGGAATACAGCTGGACAAGGTAAGTGAGAGAGCGAGCCTAGGCTGGACTTCAGGCAGGGGTTTTCCCAGCAAAGGTAAGTAGCATTCGTGTCAGGTGGGAGGTAATAGTGGCCCATACTATTTGCTGTCCACTAAATTTCCTAAACTATGGGGCGACTCTAATTCCTCTCCCCCACTGACACCAACCGATGGGGCACTATGTCCACCCACCAACTGACCACCAACGAGTGTGGGCACTATTCCTCCCCCCATCTGACAACCAACTGGTGGGCGTCGCACCTATTTTTCACTCCCCCCTCTGACACCAACGATGGGGCCACATATTCCTTCCCTCCACTGGACACCCAACGTTCGGGGCACTATTCCTGCCCACCACTGTCACCAACGATGGGGCACTATTACCCCCCCCCCCCTGACCCAATGATGGGGCAACTATTCTCCCCTCGACCACACTGACATCAATGATGGGGCACTATTCCTCCCACTGAACACCAATGATGGGGCAACTATTCCTCCCCCCACTGACACAACGATGGGCACTATTTCCCCCCCCCGACCCCAATGATGGGGCACACTATTCTCCCACTCGACTCAATGATGGGGCACTATTCACGACACCAAAAATGGGGGACTATTCCTCCCACTGACACCAATGTGGGCACTATTTCCCCCCCACTGACACCATGATGGGCACTACTCCCACGGACACCAGTTATGGGGCACTTACTCCCCCCACTGACACCAGTGAAGGGGCACTATTACCTCCCACTGAACACCAATGATGGGGCACTACTTCTCCCCCACTGACACCAATATGGCACTTACTTTTCTCCTCCCCACAGACACCAATGATGGGGCACTACATCCTCCAACGACACCAATGATGTGGCACTATTCCTCCCACTGACACCCGAGTGATGAGCACTACTCCTACCCACTGACACCAGTGATGGGCACTACTCCCCCCACTGACACCAGTGAGAGCACTATTCCTCCCAATGACAGCGAATGATGGGCACTACCTCCCCCGACTGACACCAATGTATGGGGCACTATCCTCCACTGACACCAACGATGGGGAACTATTCCTCCCACTGATGACCAACGCTGGGGCACTATTCCTGCTCCCACTGACTACAACGATGGGCGCAGCTATTCCTCCCACTGACACGCAACGATGGGCCAACTATTCCTTCCTCCCAACCAACGATGGGGCACGTAATTCCTCCAACTGACCCCAACGATGGGGCACTATATTCCTCCCACTGATACCAACGAAGGGGCACTATTCCTCCACACTGATACACAACGATGGGGCAACTAATTCCTCCCACTGATACCAACGTGGGGCCTCACTATACCTCCCACTGAGACACCAACGATGGGGCCACTATTTCCTCCCAACTGACTACCAACGAAGGGGCACTTTTCCTCCCATTGACACCGAAAGATGGGGCACTATTACTCCCACTGACACCAACGATGGGGCACTAGTCCCTCCCACTGACAACCAACGATGGGGCACTATTCCTCCCACCTGACACCAACGATGGGGCAATATTCCTCCGCACTGACACCAAGTGCATGGGCTCTATTCCTCCCACTGGGACACCAACTAATGGTGCACTATTCATCCCAGTGATACCAGGATGGGGCACTATTCCTCCCACTGACACCAGTGATGGGGCACTATTCCTCCCACTGACACCAGTGATGGGGCACTATTCCTCCCACTGACACCAGTGATGGGGCACTAATTCCTCCCACGGACACCAGTGATGGGGCACTATTCATCCCACTGACATCAGTGATGGGGCACTATTCCTCCCACTGATACCAACGATGGGGCACTATGCATCCCACTGACATCAGTGATGGGGCACTATTCCTCCCACTGACACCAGTGATGGGGCACTATTCCTCCCACTGACACCAGTGATGGGGCACTATTCCTCCCACTGATACAACGATGGGGCACTATTCCTCCCACTGATACCAATGAGAGGGGCACTATTCATCCCACTGACATCAGTGATGGGGCACTATTCCTCCCACTGATTACCAACGATGGGGGCACTATTCCTCCCACTGATACCAATGATGGGGCACTATTCATCCCACTGACATCAGTGATGGGGCACTACTCCTTCCACTGACACCAATGATGTGGCACTACTACTCCTCCCCACTGCAAAATTACAGTTATGAAGTAGCAACGAAAATAATTTTATGGTTGGGGGTCACCACAACATGAGGAACTGTATTAAGGGGTCGCGGCATTAGAAAGGTTGAGAACCACTGCTATAGGAGGGATATGCTTTGCTCATATTTCAAGTCTGAGGTTTACAACCACTTTAAGCTGAAAACTCTGAAGAGTCAGGAGCAACTTTGAATAGTTGTACGTGCTCTGAAAAAAAGAATCATTTATCAGTAATACAAGTACTGTATACACTGTAAGTATTCCTCTTAACTTTCTTAAATGGGAAAGACACAAATTTTAGCACAGTAGAGAAGCAGATGCAGTTAGCTTTCCTCTCTATAGTGATGCATTTATTTTACATCAAGAGAAACACACTCACATCACTAAAGCATCTTTCCCAGTTGTCGCAATATTCTAAGCCAGTTTGGGACCACTCAAATAACACAATATAATCCTAGAATCAAAGTGTTAAAGGTTGGATGCTGACAGGCTCCAGTTATGGCATTTAGGATCTCAACACTCCCATTATCACATCCCCACTTTCTTAAACCATGACAAATTCATGCAGAAAAAGTGACGAGTTAAAGTCAATAATGCTTTTTTTAAAACATTGCTTTTCCTTTTCACTACAGTTGAAAACAACTGCAAGAGGTTGGATGAAAGAGTTAGTATAATTATACATTTTTTTTTTGGCATATTACTCTAGTATGTCAAACCAAAAAGAGGGAACCAGACAGAGGGACTTGCTGCCAAAAGATGCTCTTCCACACTATTACCTGGTACTTTCAGGTATGAAGGAATATATGATCTCCTGCCAGGATGAAGTGCTGGGGCCTAAGCAGATAATCACTTGGACCAAACACATGAGAAGAAGAAAGAAATGAACTTTGTGCTATCTCCAATACCATCTGACAAAGATTATATAGGTTGCATTAACGAAGGGTGCCGGAGCATAATGAAGGCGAAAGGTATCAGCAGATGGAGGGTTTCCGTTAAATAACGTGTCTCTTTGCCCTGAATGGGTAAGGTAATAGAGTACTTATAAATAGGAAGTAA